AGATAGGATCAGCAACAGTTAGTTCTTAAAACTACTCCGCTTCTTCCCATTGTTCAAGAGGGACCTAATTATGTTAATAGAGGGCGCTTCACGCCAACGTCTTTAGAAGTAGCATTTTTTAACAGAAAATTAAATCAAAACCTTATTGATAGTACGCAGGATAATAAGAAAAACATTATCTTGTCTATAGAATATATATACATATAATAACGCTTTAATCTCCGTTTGTTTGTCCAATCATAACTCAGGAACCCCTAGACAGCTTTGCCTTAAATTTTGATTAGGGAACTCGAGAGTCACGGAAATGTTCCTAGCTTGGCTTTGAGATTCTAACTTGAGTGGGTGGACGTTTATAGCGAAAATTTAGTTTCCCGGTAAAATTCGACCGATTGCAGGTAAACGGCGGGCCCGGGGGTAACTTTGAGTACCCTGGACAACGATGAGTTTCCAGGCTAGTTCGATAATATACAAATTTCATACAGGATGTCCCAACAAACATTTGAATTAAATGACGACTTCTCAATCATCTTTGTCCCAAGCGGGATTATTTCGTAAATATGATTTTGTAGCATCATATTTCAACCATTTAACACCTAAAACTAGTATTCTCGGAATTTTTAAAATGTTGTTTACCATTTTTTCACCTCCAAAATTGTCGGAGATATCAGAAAATTCGTCCAGATTCTAGTTAATAAAAAATCGATAAAACTAATTAATATATCCGTCAATAAAAAAGCGCTTTTGATCGCTACTAATCTTACTTCTATCTGTTGCGTCTATAAGGAGAAAATTGTTAAAGACTTCACATACCGAATAACATGGCGTCCATACAAATTGAGAAAATTGCAACATACGACTTAGACCGTAAAAAAATCAATTTAATTTGAAACAAAACATTCAAATAAGTAAAGCCTATACCCCCTTTCATTTTTCGCGAACACTCCCTTTAAAATGCTATTCTTTAATGTTCTAAACATATCTAGAAATTTCGTGTTCGCTATACTTAGTTAACCCCATCTTCTCTGTCCCCCCACCTTATATGCTCCCTTTCTGTCCTTCCTTTTCCCTAATCCCTTTTTTCCTAACCTTCCCTGGTCCCTTTCTTTCCTTCACCATCCCTAAACCCTTTTTTTCCCAATCTTCCCCACTTCCTTTCTGTCCTTCACCTTACCTTACTTTCCCTAATCCCTTTCTGTCCTTCACCTTCCCTTCTCCCTTTTTGTCCTTTACCTTCCCTACTCTCTTTCTGTCCTTCACCTTCCCTACTCTCTTACTGTCCTTCACTTTCCCTACTACCTTTCTGTCCTTCCCTTCTCTCTTTCTGTCCTTCACCTTACCTACTCACTTTCTGTCCTTCACCTTTCCTACTCTTTTTTTGTCCTTAACCTTCCCTATTCCCTTTCTGTTCTTCACATCCATATTCCTTTTTTCCTCAACATTCCCTGCTCCCTTTTTGTCTATCACCATCCCTAAACCCTATTTTTCCCAACCTTCCCTACTCTTTTTCTGTCCTTCACCATCCCTAATCCCTTTTTCCCCAATCTTCCTTGCTCCCTTTCTGTCCTTCACCTTCTCTACTCCCTTTCTGCCCTGCGGCTGCACCTTCCTTACTCCTTCTTATAATTGTATGGAAGATGGTTTGCAAATTTTTTAGCATTGTTGCAACCGTTTCTGGACCACCGGGGGTAGTGCAATTTCTAATTACTGGTTACAATGGAGGATATATAGAGATGGACGCTATTTTTTCTGAACCATAAACCTGACATTTAAAAGCTACATATTCTCCTTTAAACGAGGTATGTTTATAAACATGTTCAAGTATTTTTATTTTTAGGCGGCTCCGAAAACACTGAAATGCGTAAATTAATTATTTTTATAAATATTCTTTTAATTAATATCTTTTGCTAGAATATTAAATTTTGCACAATTGAAATAAAATTCAACTTATCAAACTTATCAAGCGGCAATTTCTAAAGAGTATAAACAATTTAGAAGTACACTTATAAAAAGGAGGATATTCGAATATGCAATTAGGAAAGTGTAGAGTGAAGGATAAGTATCTAATTGTTTACAATGTAATCGTCTCCGAAACTACTGGTTTGTGGATTTATCTCATCTTGTTGGTGGATTTCTTCCTTCCACGCAATAAAACCTTAAATATTGAAAACGACTAAAAAAATGATGCCCATCTCTACAGATATATAGATGTAAATGGCAAGTTTTTGTTACTTCACAATCTTTTATCCGCTCTTTAATGTTTTTACTTTTCATTGTCAATGTCCACTTCCAGTACTAACAAGAAAGCTTTCAAGCGTTAACGCTAAAATGCAATTTGCGTATTTCTGCGTAACTTGCTTAACTTCCGTAACTGTGCTATTGACAAATTGAAAACAAAGGAAAAATACTTGGACTGGTCATGCTATAAAATTTTAAAAAGTGGAAGACTTGGTGTTTTGAAATTAAAAATTGAAATTGACTGAAAATCATTGAATAAATTAAGTTGTGTTAAACATTTTATAAATAATTTTAATTCAGAATTTTAAAGCTTTTATTATTGTATTTGATCAGGATTATTGGATTTTTTGTGGAGTAAAGTTAATCTTGAACGATTGATCTTCATATCCTATGTGGCACTCTTAAATTTGAGGATAATTGCTCTATTCTAGAATTAAAGTTATCCCTGCAGGGTATGACCACCAAGGATATCGCAGAGGATTTAAATTAATCCGTGATTATTCCGTAGATTAATCCGTAGATCTGTAGCTATGATTATTTAAACAGAAAGTATGAAATTCTAATATTTTAAAGACTGCAGGCCAACAGAGAGGGGCAAGAAGACTATTGTCCCCCCCCCTGTGTAACCTACTGTTGGCAATCCTGTATATCTGTATAACTATATTACAGGCAGAAATTATATATGCTTGTAACAGCTTTGTAATTGTCAACTGTCATTGCCTATAGGTTCAGACGGATGAAGGTACTTTAGCTTAAATACTTTCATTTATGACTCATGCAATGGGTTTTAAAATAATAGATATTGGTCTTGTCCACCCCNAAATTCATCAAGTTCTGTATATTGTCCATGAATAGATATGGTTGTTGTCTAACAATACATACCTGAATATTGTCCATGAAAAGATATGGTTGTTGTCTAATAATATATATCTGTATATTGCCCATGAATAGATATGGTTGTTGTCTAACAATATATATCTGCATATTGTCCATGAATAGATATGGTTGTTGTCTAAAAATTCATACCCGTATATTGTCCATGAATAGATATGGTTGTTGTCTTACATTATATATCTGTATATTAGCCATGAATAAATATGGTTGTCTAAGAATATATATTTGTATATTGTCCATGAATAGATATGGTAGTTGTCTAACAATATATATCTGTATATTGTCCATGAATAGATATGGTTGGTGTGTAACATTATATATCTGTATATTGGCCATGAATAAATATGGTTGTCTAATAATATATATTTGTATATGGTCCATGAATAGATATGGTAGTTGTCTAACAATATATATCTGTATATTGTCCATGAATATATATGGTTGTTGTCTAACAATATATATATTTGTATATTGTCCATGAATATATATGGTTGTTGTCTAATAATGTATATCTGTATATTGTCCATATATAGATATGGTTGTTGAATAACAATATATATCTGTATATTGTCCATGAATAGATATGGTTGTTGTCTAACAATATATATCTGTATATTGTCCATGAATATATATGGTTGTTGTCTAACAATATATATATCTGTATATTGTCCATATATAGATATGGTTGTTGAATAACAATATATATCTGTATATTGTCCATGAATAGATATGGTTTATTTGTTATTGTCTAAGAACATATATTGTTTTAATATTTGGTTGTTTGTAAGAAAAGATATGTATGTTGTCTTCAAGAAGTGTTATAAATATAGGGCTTTCAATGATTACAACTGACTATGAGAGCAAGAATGTTTAGGAAATACATAAAATGTTTTATTTTAAACCAAATGTTGTACTTTTTACATTGCTTCTATTTCTATTCCAGATGCCATACAGGCACGTTTTTAGAAATTATTCAGTCTTTCCCTTAAACCCCCGTCCCCCCAGCTGTTAAAAAGTTATGAAAGGCTAAGAGTCCTCCACCTCGTCCTCCCTTAAACAAATTTTTGTAAACACCCTGTTGTTAAATCTCTAGCAGAGAGCAAAGTACAAATTATTAAATTATTTAATTAAGATGAAAACGGGGAAGATTTTGTACCGTTCCATGAAGTGTGTCCAAAAAAAGTATGAATATAGCTTGAATGTAATAATTAGGAATTAAAAATTTGTAACACCAATTTAAGCACATTCATGAAAACAAACAGATGAAGTTCATTGCATATAAAACGCTAATTATAAAAAATCCTCACTATTATGTTAAGGATTCTTAGAAACATTGCCAACAAAAACGAGGAGATCACATTAATGCGACATTACAAGTAAGATTTTGAGACCTCGTAGCTTCTCTAATTTGTAAAATCAAGTTTATCAGATTAAATAATTGAGTTGCAACAAACTCGAATTTTCTAATCCCCATATCTGTCCAACCTGATGACAAAAATCTTAGACATTTCAAACTAAGATTATTTGATCTAACAGAATTTATAGTTTAAAATATATATAGTCTACGGCATTGGATGGCAGAGATATTAGGATTAGAACATCAGAGTTTGTGGCAAAAACTCAATTCCTTTAAAAGAGTTCTTATATCTCTTCGATACAAGGATATATGTTTGAATATATATAAGATTTCTATATATAACGAGCAATTTACTTTTAACGTGAGACTGAGAATCAGCGCATCTTTTTTAATTGTTCATAACGCCTGTTAAGGAACGTTCTAAATAAATGAGCGTTGTTTGATTAGAAACATTTTTAACGGTCACATTGGTTTATTTTGAGCTTTAACTAAACCTTTGCATTTTACCATATTTTCTTTTACATATCTCCTTGTCTGTGATTTTACATATATTTGATATTATCAGCATATCTCCTTGTCTGTGATTTTACATATATTTGATATTATCAGCATATCTCCTTGTCAGTTATTTTTTCATTTTTCTCATTTCCTACTTCAGTTTTAATTTTCTCCTTGTTACGTCTAGAATCCCCGGATAGAGTTTTAATGAGTATTTTATCCAAGTTGATTACAGGGATCTCAACTGTACCAAACCATACTTTGAGTCATAGTAGATCAATGTATCATTACTCTTAGAAAAATTAGATTCAATTATAAACCCTAGGGCTACGGCCAACTGGGGTTTATCATTGCGTCCATCGGAGGTTTAAATTCCTATTGTTTCCAAATTCTAAGAGAGTAAATGACATTCCTTTGTAAATAGCTGGTTTTTAATCTGAACCTGTTTAATTAAGATGTTAGATTGGCGGGATTCAATGATAATTGTTATGAAGGAATAACTATGTCCGTTTTCTAACGTACCCTTTAAACCTGTATCTGATCAATAACGCGCGTGGAAGATATTATCGTTTTATAACTTGAAAATTGTTTGATTCTCAAAATTTTCTTCATCGTTTCTGTAGCAAGTAGTAGGTAACTTTTACAGAAAACCCCTGATTGAAAATAACCAATTTATATAAATATAAATTATGAATATCTCATTTATCCTTGATCAGACAAAGGTTTTAAGGGTACTGTTGTGAATTGGACATGCCACACAACACCTTGAAATTATACATACAATCCCTTTAAAAACAATCATGTAAAACTACAAGATAGAGGTTGTATATTGTTGTAACTTATTAGAACACCGGACAGGAACCAGTTTTTATATAAACAATAACAAGAAGTTGTAGACAAGAGGATTAGTTTTTGAGCAGGTGCCTCCAGGCTTAGAGTAATTATATTTACTATCGCATGTTGTGTTTTACTTGCTTCCAAATTACAGGGTTACTCACAAAAGATGAGACGTAAAGACGACCTTAAACTCGTAAAATGTTACGATATCGGGGTTAAATTGAGAGTTTGCCTTGAATTTAGTCATCAAAAGCATATTCCAAGAGAAAATACTTCAAGAGCTTCAGTGAATCATGAAACAAAAAGTATACATTTCGTTCAGCCGTCTCTGAAGTCTCTCTGAAGTAACCCTGCATGTCCACTTAAAATGCAAACAATACCTATCCCCCTCTCAAAACATTAACTTCTTGTAAACAATGGAGAATGAAAAAGGAACAAAAGTATGGTTTCCTAAGAGTGCTAGAAATACTGCAAAGGCTAGAGATACAACAACATTACTCAGGAATACCCAGGACAACATTAGCTCATCCTTATACATTGGTCTGAAAATTGAAAAATTAGATTAGTGAGACAAGATTCATGGCTATACTTGTTATCCTTAACAATAACTTTTTAACCAAATATACTTAAGTTTTGATGTCCAACCTAATTCTGACCGACTGAAAAGACAAAACATGAGGGAAAAAACTCTTAACGTTTGATTGGTTCAGGAGGAAATGACCTATAAGCAGGGGTCCATATAATTCCCAAAATAGCTGATTTTCCCAAAATTATTTTTTGCCCCCAACTTAAAAAAAAATGCCCCCAATTGTAAAAAAATGCACCCAATTAATTAAACATTTTCAAATTCCACTAACACATTTGCTCCCATTTGCCCCAATTATAAAGAAATGCCCCCAATTAAAATAACATTTTCAAATTCCACTAACATATTTGCCCCCAATTATAAAAAAATGCCCTCAATTAAAAAAAAAATTCAAATTCCACTTACACATTTGCCCCCATTTGCCCCCAATTATAAAGAAATGCCCCCAACTAAAATAACATTTTCGATATTCCACTTACACATTTGCCCCCATTTGCCCCCAATTGGAAATAAAATTTTTAGCTTAAAAAATAATTTTCAAATTCCACTAACACATTTTCCCCCATTATTTTTTAAATTGCCCCCAGAAAATATGAATTTGCTCCCATACAAATGCCCCCAAACATAAAAAAATGCCCCTCTTCCACTCACATCTGCCCCTAAAAATTCAATTATTTGCACCCAGTAAAAACAAATTTTACCCCAATTTTTTTTTGTTATTCTTTTAAAACAATTTCTTTTAAATTTCTCAATCCAAAATGGGATTGAGAAAGGAATTATATGGACTCCTGCCTATAAGTTATTGGTTATCAAATCAATCAATTTTAAAGCAGAGGTTAAGTGTATGGCCAAAGAGAATATATTCTATTCTCTATGTATATGGCTCTATAGTTCTGTTGCAGAAACCTCATAAATCCAATATCCTGGGTACACCAGACGGGATGATCCGCAAAAATATGGGCAAAATATCAGCCAAAAACTGCAAACAATAATCTTTTGCTCTCAAAACCCAAATCTGAACTGTTGAAAAAGAGAGATTATCAAAAATTTGGGCGTGGATCCGGATCCATTTTTTTTTCAGATCCGGATCCGCATCAAAATTAAACGGATCCAAAGCATAAAATCTGGTTTAACAGACCTTGTTGAATACCAGAACAGATCTATAACAATATAATGAACCAAGTATGCAGAGTATGTCAACCTGAAAAAAAGCATGTATTAAATATAGTATCATGTGAAAATTCATTAAACACAAGTCAATGGGTCCTAATCTAATCTAATCTAATCATCTAATCTAATCTAATCTAATTTAATCTAATCTAATCTAATCTAATCTAATCTAATCTAATGATTGATTTTTCTGCTGAAAATATAATGCTGAGCATAAAATAACAAATATGGATTCAGTTGATTCCAAGCGAAAGGAGAGCACTATAAGCAACCAATAGCAAAGCTGTTTTCAGATTGCTCGGGTTTGCTCAATTATCATATATACAAGCATGTACAACATTGTTATTCAAAAAAGCTAAGATATATGGTCGAAATTTAAGTTAGCCGGACGTTTCACCTTCTTTCCTTGGCGGCAAATTACTGAAACTGCAGTCAGGGCTGCTTTTTTAATACAACATAATTTCTTCAATATTAGTGTTGATACGAAATGAACTTAACATTACAGTAATGAATAATACTAATGATTTGACAAAAAAATTATTATTCATTATTTGTAAAAGATAATTTAGATTGCATACATCAAAATAATTAACAATTAGTTTTGATCGAATATTTCTTTCAAGAATTCTAGCCGATTGCGCGCCAAAAAAATATTGTGCCCCCCCCCCCCCTTGGCAACATTGGGCCCACCCCTTAAAAACCCCTTTTTTGAAAAAAATATTGATCCTTTTTTTAACTATGTAAACTTAAATTTCCAGGCAATCCCTCTTAAACGTCCGGCTATCGAAATTTAACTGTATCCACAGTTAAATTCTTTTCTAATTCTTGAACCTTGCAGCATTATCGAGAGAAAGGAATTGCATGTCTTACTCTTAAATCTAGTCCATTTATTTTTGCAACCTGATGGTGTCAACTTTAGATATTTCAAACTTCCATACCAGAATTCATAGTTTGAAATATCAAAGGTCTAAGACAACTGTGTGTTGGATTAGAAAATCAGAATTTGTGACTCAATTCCTCTTTGTAACTCATAAATACAATAATATAAATCCTACATTTTAAACAAAGCTTAATACACAGTCATACTTTTCCTCGTATAGTTTAGGATTTTGGGATTTAGATTTATGACCTGGAAAGTGGAACGAATGCTGGCCAGCTTAAGAAGTTATTAATTGGCCCCCCATAACCAGCATGACATGTTACTATCACCTAGCAAATATTATCAATAAAATACTTTTATTTGTATGTTATTAAAGGAATAAAGGATCTGTAAGCGTGCTTTCAAGAAAACCTAAGATGGCAAATAATACCCAGTTGACAGTGGTAACCTTGAAACCGATTATTTATCAAAAATCTGGAAAATATTGTTGTTTTTCTTGGTTTAACAGTGATAAATACTGATTAATCCTTCAGTAGAAATCAGCTTCCTAACTAAAAACATTGATATCTAATTCATACTCGATCAGAAAAAGCTTTTAAGGGTATCGTTTTGAATCGGGCGTTGCTATCTTTGAATGGAGGGTCACTTGAAATTGCGCTTATAGTTTCTTTAAATAATATTTCGGACCTCTTTGGGTCTCATTGCTATAGAGATACCATAATTAATAAATTAATAAACTTTATCAGTTTTCAAAATTATAAACGTGAATATCTAATTCATTCTTGATTAGACAACGCTTTTAAAGATGCCGTTGTGAATCGGGCATTGTCATCTTTGCATGGTAGGTTACTTGAAATAACGCTTCCAGAATTAAGGCTATAACACATACCCAACATAAGCAAAGGGACCAGGCAGGTCTATGCAAGGTTGCGTACACGACGGCTGTTAGTGTTGAAAATGTTGGTGCTTCAAACTTGTTGTATGGAAACATGCCGTACTCGATGAGAATCCCTGACGAGATTGCAACTATCCAGCCGATAACGACGAACAGATGGTTCATCTTGGGCATAACACCTACAAAATATTGAGTTACCGCAAACTAGACCTAGTAAGAAGGTCAAATTTATTCGACATTACTGATACGACTTTGTGACCTAGTTTTGATTTTTCGCCCAAGTGCGAGAAAAGTAAATTTATCCAGTTAGATTACATATAGGATAATCAAATTTATCCCGTTACATTACATATAGGATAATCAAATTTATCCAGTTACATTACATATAGGATAATCAAATTTATCCCGTTACATTACATATTAGAAAAATAAATTTATCCAGTTACATTACATATTAGAAAATCAAATTTATCCAGTTACATTACATATTAGAAAATCAAATTTATCCAGTTACATTACATATTAGAAAATCAAATTTATCCAGTTACATTACATATAAGAAAATCAAATTTATCCCGTTACATCACATATTAGAAAATCAAATTTATCCAGTTACATTACATATTAGAAAAGTAAATTAATCTAGATACATTACATATTAGGAAATCAAATTTATCTAGTTACATTACATATTAGGAAATCAAATTTATCCAGTTACATTACATATTAGGAAGTCAAATTAATCAAGTTACATTGCATATTAGGAAATCAAATTTATCCAGTTACATTAAATTTATCCAGTTACATTACATATTAGAATATCAAATTTATCCAGTTACATTACATATTAGAAAATCAAATTTATCCAGTTACATTACATATAAGGAAATCAAATTTATCAAGTTACATTACATATTAGGAAATCAAATTTATCCAGTTACATTGCATATTAGGAAATCAAATTAATCAAGTTACATTGCATATTAGAAAAGTAAATTTATCCAGTTACATTACATATTAGGAAATCAAATTCATCAAGTTACATTACATATTAGGAAATCAAATTTATCCCGTTACATTACATATTAGAAAATCAAATTTATCCAGTTAAATTACATGTTAGGAAATCAAATTTATCAAGTTACATTACATATTAGAAAATCAAATTTATCCAGTTACATTACATATAAGAAAATCAAATTTATCCAGTTACATTACATATTAGAAAATCAACTTTATCCAGTTAGATTACATATTAGATAATCAAATTTATCCAGTTACATTACATATTAGAAAATCAAATTTATCCAGTTCCATTACATATTAGAAAATCAAATTGGTCCTGTTAGATTACATATTAGAAAATCAAATTTATCCAGTTACATTACATATTAGAAAAGTAAATTTATCCAGTTACATTATATATTAGGAAATCAAATTTGTTTGGTTCTTCTCAAAATTTTAATTAGGAGAGAGTTTGCAATCCTAGGTTCAATTTACTTTAATTTGGGGTGAAGTTTTATTTTTTCAAGTAAATGGGGTAATGTGTACAACAGCGTTTACTTGGTATGAAGGACGGTCATAAGTGTTTCAAACAAATCTTTTATAAAGCCCTTAAAAATGAATGAATACGTACGTGTTTGATTGCATTTGTAAAAAAAAAAAAAAATTTTCTTCATTTTTCTAACAATTTATTTTTATTTTTCTTAACCTCCCTGGACTCTAACCGTTAAAGTCGGAGGTCTCTTTTTTTAAAGATACATTTTTCTGTATAACTTGTTTTTTCTTGAAATACATTGCACACATGAAAGAGGAAAGATATTAATAATGTTAAAATATCAGGTGTTATCACTGTGCATGCTAAAATAGAATTGATATAAATGCTCAGATTATCTCACCTTTTCTATGATTAAACCAGAATCCCAGCCAGATCCCAATAATAAAAGGAACTGCTCGGCTCCAAGGTTTCTTGTATATCAGATTATGCTGCTGGTCAGCATCCCGCACTCCGGGTTTATCACCCTGCAACCAATCAATCAAAGAAACTGAGTTCTAGCTACAAACTCTTAAATTCATATATCTTTGTAACCTGATGTCGTAGTCCGTGGGACTTTTATATTTCTGATAATTCTGTTAGATCAAATAGTTTAAGTGTGAAAATCAAATATTTACACCATCATCTTTCAAAGATAGGGATTATAAATTTTGAGTTTATGGTAAGAACTCAGCTCATTTTACAGCATAAAAAGATTCTATATCTTCAACAACAGGATGATTATTCACAATCACATTAGTGAAGTATAATTTATAAAGTATTATTTCTTTGTTAAAAAGAGATATACGAGAAACATAATACGCATTTGCTTGAGAAACATAATACGCATTTGCTTGAGAAACATGATACGCATTTGCTTGAGAAACATGATACGCATTTGCTTGAGAAACAAAATACGCATTTGCTTGAGAAATACGCATTTGCTTGAGAAACATGATACGCATTTGCTTGAGAAACAAAATACGCATTTGCTTGAGAAACATGATACGCATTTGCTTGAGAAACATAATACGCATTTGCTTGAGAAACATAATACGCATTTGCTTTATAAACATAATATGCATTTGCTTGAGAAACATGATACGCATTTGCTTGAGAAACATAATATGCATTTGCTTGAGAAACATGATACGCATTTGCTTGAGAAACATAATACGCATTTGCTTGAGAAACATAATACGCATTTGCTTGAGAAAAATGTGAATGGATTACGGAAGTCCATGTGTTTTCCCTCTGTAAAGGAATTAGATAAATGGATTAGAAAAGAAATTGAGTTTTAGCCACAAATTCAAATGTTCTAATCCTTATATCTTTGCAACCGGTTGGTGTAAACCTTTGATGTTTCAAACTTCGACTATTTTATCTACTAGAATTCAAAGTTTGAAATATCTAAGGTCTATGAAGTTGGGTTGCAAATATATAGGGATTAGAAAGTCCTAGTTTGTGGCAAAGACTGAATTCCTTTTACAAATACTATAGGGTTTACTGAACACTCACCTGGAGGACATCTGTTTCACAAATACTATAGGGTTTACTGAACACTCACCTGGAGGACATCTGTTTCACAAATACTATAGGGTTTACTGAACACTCACCTGGAGGACATCTGTTTCACAAATACTATAGGGTTTACTGAACACTCACCAGGAGGACATCTGTTTCATAAATACTATAGAGTTTACTGAACACTCACCTGGAGGACATCAGTCGGAGCAAAGTCATAAATCCAAGTTATGATTCCAGGTATAAGAGTAAAGATCAATGTAATAAACATGGCGGCAGAGTAGAAAAGGTATGTTTTTCTCTTCTTCAAGTAGAACATGCAAAGAATGAGAGGTGGTCCAATTAAAAACATTTGCATGTCTACAGACAAATACCTGAGAAGTAACAGATTGAAATAACTAGAGATAAAACCTAAAAGTGTCTAAGGTTACTGCTAAATTCAAGTTACTGTAAGCGTAATTTCGAGTAACCCTTAACATGTAAAGATGGCAATACCCGATTTATAATGGCACTCGTAAAAGCTTTTTCTGATCAAGTATGAATTATAACTCCATGTTTTCGGTTTTGAAAACTGTTTATTATGATAAGTAGCTTCTCTGCATATGTCTTGCGCATTTCTTGCTTATAAGAAAGACCGGAGATATTATAGGAATAAAATACTTTTCGATTTGGAAAAAACGAAGTTATCATCCAGATTTTTGATCAGGATTGAAGGATAACGTTGAAAATCAGGATTGCAAACTTTGCTTGACAATCACGTGCACTAGAACCCGCTATTTCTTAGTTTAGGGTGTTGAGGGGGTTACTTGAAATTACGCTTACAGTCCCTTTAATGGAATAAAAACTGATTAAATGATTACCAAGACTGTGCCATGCACATTGAAGAGTCTTTAGGAATAGTATTTGTTGTGTCTCCGTCAAACAAAGTGTGGATATAGAGAATCATTTTCCACCACTGATCTCTTAATTCAATACAAACTAGTCAGTTATAAATACAAAGAGAAAAGGGTCATATGTTCACTATGCTAGTAGTGCAAGACCAAATTCATTTAGATATGTCATATAAAATAGTTTGTCTGTCTGTTTGGATGTCTCTGACCATAACTCATAAAGCTTTTTACTCATTTGCATCAAAGGATTTGAGTTTTTGCCACAAACTCTGATTTTCTAATCTCTATATCTTTGTAACTTAATGTCGTAGACCTTAGATATTTCAAATTATTAATACTTATAGATAAAATAATCTAAGTTTGAAATATCAAAGGTTTGCACCATCAGGTTGCAAAGATATTGGGATCAGAAGATTTGAGTTTGTGGCTAAAACTCAATTCCTTTTGATTAGGAAACTCAGTAGAACCGTGAGAATATTCATAGCTTGACTTTAACATTTTAAGTTAAGTAGGTTCCCAGACTATAGCATCTTATAATATCTTTTTTTTATATAAACCATCCACTAAAAACATTGTCAAACACAGCAAATTAATTTGAGAATTTGACCAATGAAATATAAGCCATTTCCTTTTTCTCTTATATACTTTTTGTAAGCATATTCAAACAGTTTTTTTTAAATCTGACAACTGGACGTAAAGTCAAATTCAAAGAAACCAAACACATCTCGCCCTACTGTCCAGTGGTATATTGTGATTTATAGGTCTCAAGCTCTCAAGCAAAAATTGATGAGAATTTTGCCAACTTACTAGCTTCTTGAAAATCAAAGTTAACCACAAATGCTAAAATGTACAAAGGACTACAGAAAAGGTTTAAAAGCCCACTAGCGTTGCAATCTTCCAAGTCGACCCTGTCTTAAAAGTTGATGAGACTCAGGGTGAATCTACCTGCAAGCTTCTGATGCCCCGGAATCAGTATTGGGAGGATAAATAAACATCTTATTCCTAAGGGTTGCCAAAAATCCTATAACAGCTAGATAAGCCGGAGTTAACCTCAAATATCTAAACAAAATTCTTAAATGAAAAGAATTGAGGTTTAGCAACAAGTTCTGATTTTTTATACCCTAACGCTGCAACCCAAATTGTCGTAAACCTTCTATATTTCAAATTATAAATTCTGCAAAATCAAATAAGCTATATTTGAAATATCAAAGGTTTACACTATCAGATTGCAAAGATATAGGGATTAGAATATTTCAGCTTGTGGCAAAGACTCAATTCCTTTGACTTAATCTTAATTTAATAGCTTAAGCTTAATTTTAAGTTGTCCTATCAAAATATCGATAAGTTCTTTCTATGGAAAAGTTTTTCCGTAATGTTTATAAAAATTATAATTACTTTTTCATCTTTAAAGGGACAGACCGGCTATGTTGTAAGATCTGAGGATCTTTATAAACTAATGTGTGTTCGGGGTGTTCAGCGACAAGACGTTATTCAGCGTGTTCAACCAGGAATTCTCTACATACAATCGATCAATCACACGGAACTCTACATGCACAATTTTCTACATTTAATCACGTGTTCAAATCTATATAATTAATTAAGATTTTTAATGTATAACTATTTAAAGGCCAATTTTTATAAAGAATAACTTGATTTTGTTTTATATTGCAGAACCTGAGTTTTATGGTTAAGAATGTTTTATAATTCGACCTATATATAATATCTAACCAAAGCCTATATATAATGTCTAGCCTAGGCCTAATCATGTCTAGCCTAAGCCTCGAAAAATCATTGCCTAAATGAGTTTTATCTTTCAGAACACAATGGGTTAGTTGCGCCTTTCTAACCTGAATTTGTGTCTCTTTCTCCAGGTCTATAAATCATCCGTAATAAATGTTCAAGGCTCTCTACACAATGTTGCCAAATTTTATTCCTACGGATGGTTTATAGAATATATATAGATAATTGTGATTGTTGTGATTTCCTCTAAATAGTTCCGGGTACGTCTCCGTGCATTAAACCAGGTGAAAATTGCAAATATCTAAAATGAGCTTAAATAATATCCTGACTTCTCACAAATCTCTCAACATAATTCTCATGCTAGGCTGGCACGAGTCCCGTTGATATATAACCTCGACTTGCTCTGCTGACTCACGGAGAAGTTCTACTCCTCTTCAACATGCAGAATGCCTCCCCTGTGTGTTTGATTCCTGAGATGAATAAGTTCTCTCCTAATCCCACCTACTAATCTTGACATCCTGAGTCTAAGGAAGTCTACATATAGGTGAGGATCAAAGCTCACAACCTTTGAGCTCTGGAACTCGGTCTAATTATCTTCATTTAGACCTCCGTTGTCACGACTCCGACATCACCGGAAGCTGAGTTATCCTTGTTTCTCTGGACACTCGGCTGATACTCCAGAATATCCTGCTGGTACTCTAGAGACTCATCTACCTCTACGTACCAGGCCTCTACAACTTCGGCTTCATTGTAACCTCCCCTCCGATACCTCCACGGAAGGGCTCTGAAACTGTTTCCCTGATCTAGCTCCTCCTCTAGATTAAATACAGGTAATAAATCTAAAAATCACGATGCTTGTGATAAATGTGAGAAAGTCACCACTTAAAAAAGGATATTTGAAGTGACACATGAAAACTTCGATCAGACTAAATAAGCTCATTTTTAGTTTCCTGTTTGCGACTGCGGTGCAATTTAATGAACTATAGGCTACAAACCTCTGGACAAATCAACATTGTAAGTTTATTTTCTTATTATATAAATAATTGAATAGTTAACCTGGAGAAAGTTTTATTTTAAAGGCTAAAATTTTATTATTGTCATGCATATAATTAACCCTGCAGACTGATTTATTATGTTTTCAGTTCAAGGTTGAGTCCTGTATAAACTGCCTACCTGAAATATATACATAAGATTTAATCAGTGCAAATAGAGGTGAGCCGAAGAGAAAGAGTTCATGCTCGCTCTTATGTTTGTAGTTATTACCTGGTTTCTAAAGGTAAAATTTGAGCACATATGTAAGGTAGTTGAACTGAGAATGCAGTGTTGTGGAAAGTTTCTTTAGGATTCATTTGAGACATATAAAACTTTTTAAAGATCTGTAAATCCTGAGTTTGAGCGCAAATTCGAGGTCTAAAACTCCTACTTTGGGGGTGGATACGTTTTCAGAATCGTTTTTTTAAAATTACTAAATAACGACGACGAAAAAAAAGTAAAAATTTTACAGTAATCTATTTAGATGGTTGGGAACATATTTCTCAAAGAAATTTGTCAATAAATCAATGCTTCAAATTCTTTCAATGTCGTCTTTTCAATAATACTTCAAGAAAATCTGCAGAAAATCTTTGTGAATAATGAGAAACTAGAACAACGAGAAAATAGAAACTAATAATTGAACAAGATTACTTATTTTCGATGATAAGATTAATTTTTTTTCTCAACCTGTTCCTGAACAACTAATTAGTTTACTGTACAGTTTTGTTTACATTTTTTTGTCGTCGTTATTTGATACTTTTAAAAAAACCGATTCTGAAAACCTATCCACCCCCAAAGTAGGTTCCCAAGCTGGTGTATTATATTTGCGTGAAAAGGCTCGATAAATGAAACTGTATTTAGAGTTGTTACCTATGAAGATAAGTATTGAATAGTATAAGCCCATGACGAGAGTTCCTTTCTAACTCTTTAAGAAGGAGATAGCAAAGTAAGAACCCACTGAAATAATTGAGTTAATATAGATAAACGAGTTTTGAGCTAAAGGGACCCTCAACATAATTTTAAGTGGCCCTTCAATTAAAGAGTTGCATGCCCGATTCACGTAGGTACCCTTTAAATCTTTTTAAAACTAAATATTTTTATTTTCCGTATAGTTTTACAGGTTAATATTGGATTACATATTATATATAGAATATATCACAATGATAATAAACGGAAATTACATTTATGTATTTAATGTGTGTTAAAATAAACAGTATGTTACTTTTTCTATAAAAGTTGAAATTGTACAGCAATGACGACATTGTTCAACAACTCACGAGATTAGACTTTGGCATATTTCTTGCTGCATATCAATGACGACATTAGTCAAGAAACTCAACGGATCAAACATTAATATATTCATCATACATATAATTATAAGTTGATCGCTCATTAGGACAAATTTACCTCGGCGATAAGTGTCGAGAAAGATTATGAGAAGCGTTCCGATTTATAGTGTGTTATAAGTGCAGAACGGATCTAGATCTTTTATATTTTTTTCCGGAGTATATAGAGCTGCATACTTGACATCATGAGTGTTTGTGATCTATTGGAAGAGATCGCGTAACCCAGTATGAAAAATACTATCATTTAAGGAAGTGTGTTTATCGAGAATAAAAACATTCCGATAAATTAAAAACTTTATTGGATTTTTGGTCTTAAATCTTAGTCTGATATCCAAATCGTGGTTTTTCAATTAAAGTGACATTCCGAGTTATTCGCAGAAACAATGAAATAAATTAACAGAAATTTTAACTTGAAAGAAACCCCTCGATAACTGCATTATTGTCGTTCAGAAAAAAGGGAATGGAACTTATTAAAAAGGGGTTGAAAAATTTTTAAGATAGTTTACCTCAAAAAGAAAAATGTATCCACAGCCATGTAGGCATTGAGCATAACTTGATATTCAATATTCTGAAAATAAAGTATAAAACTTTAGTTTTAGAGCACATAGTATTACTTCTAGATTTTTATTGAATCTTGGAAAGCCAGCTTTATCTGAAAACTGTAACTTCCCTAAAAGGTGACCCACTGAACTTCATAATCTTTACATCCAGCTAAGTTAACATTCCTATGGTTATTCCGAGTTCCCCAATCAAAATTTGGGGCAAATCGGTCTCAGGATTCCTGAGTTATGATTGAACATACAAACAAACAAACAATATTACTACTTTATATTTATGCTGATTTGGGAACCCAGCGCTGCCAAGTTTACCAAAATTTACTCCAGCCGTTTACCCGCACTTGAACTATTTTACCATGCTACTAAATTTTTAAATCAAAGTCGACCCACTCAATTTAGAATATCAAAACCAAGCTAAGAACATTCCCGTTGATCTTCCGAGTTCCCCCATCAAAATTTGGGGCAAATCGGTCTGGGGGTTCCTGAGTTATGACCGGACAAACAAACAAACAAACAGACAAAAAGATTAAAACTTTATATATTTATATAGATTTATGCAAGGTACTAATGCAAGGAAAGTTATTTCAGAGGTGTACACATTTTTGTACTGCAGTGTACTGTCTGGAATCCATTTTCACAAAAATAATCTATGAAATATTCTGGTCATAGTAAACTGTTATGTGAATTTTCAAAATCATCAAAATTAAATGCTTTTATCCTCCTCGTATACTAAACGAACACTGATGCATCTTTTCTTGTTTACAAATTCCGCCCAAAGAGAACTGGTTTCAATATGACGCAGAGTATACGCGACAGCAATTAACTTTCCTTGCATTAGTACCTTGAATTTATGGTTTTACCCATAGATGATAAAGATAGATTGCGCATAAGACGACATTTTCATCTTGAACGATATGAATGTACAGAGATGTTTTAAAGATATTCCTATTATATAGATTAACTAGGTCGGTTGTGAACATTGGCTGGTCTTATGTCATTGAGTACTTGTGGTGTACATGAGTTCTGTAGAGAGAAATTTGAGTTAGTTTAGTCCTTCTCATGTAACATGTCCTTCTTTAGTTCTCGTCAATGTGATATATTGTTCAGTGAAATATTGCTGTTCAAATAGTTCCATTCCCGTAGTTTTTTACACTCTATATTATGAAATCCATTAAAACACCAAACCACCCCGCTTATCATTGAAGTACACTTTGACCCCTAGAAGTATGAGTTCTTGGTGATTCTTCGTACATAAGCTATCTATGTTTATTTATTTATCTATGGTTTTACCTCTGTTATTTTTTCTATCATAGTATTTTTAACAGTGTTATCAATCAGTATAAACATTGCTCCATGTCCGAATATGACCCAGGTCATGCTGATAAACCTCATCCCATGTATGCACCGGATACAGTTCGGAGATTCATTGCTGTCTAACAACTAGTCAACCAACAATGGAAATTGTACTTAAAGGTTAAAGGGACTGTACGCATAATGCCAAGTGAATGTGACCCTCCATGCAAAGATGACAATGCCTGATTTACAATGGTATCCTTGGAACCTTGATTTGATAAAAATGTGGAAGATATCGTCGTTTTTCTGACTATAAAAGTTTCTACGCTGATAATTTCTCCATTTATTTTTACAACAATAAATGTCCAAGTAATTTTCGCAGTTAACCCGCAGTGAAAATAACAGTTTAAAGAAACAAAAACATGGATATCTAATTCATACTTGATCAGACAATCTTTTAAGGGTACCGTAGTAAATCGGACATTGCCATCTTTGCATGCAGAATTACTTAAACTTACGCTTACAATCCCATTAAAAGGACTGTTAGCTAATTTTGGAAATTGGGTCCAAACCGCAGAGTTTGTATTGAGCCTCTTATTCAAAATATTTTTTAAATATCTAAAATTTACCCAAGAAAGATAATGTCCATCTTAAATTACTGGTCTTTCTGATGAGAAAATTTACTTCATTCCAGGTTGAAAAGTTCCCTTTGATCCATTTCTGCTGAGTGAAAAAGCTGCCACGATATTATCTGCTGTAGAAGTTGAAGTCCAGTTTACTTTAGGCATCTCTATTCCAAGTACAAAGTATCCATACCTGAAATAAGAATATTTCCATATACACGAGAAAACATGGATACTATAATAACAGGAAAACATATTATACATCTATAATATGTATAATGATTCTGAACAGGATTATTTTACAAAAACATATAACTTTCTAACTTTCTAATTAATTTTTACCCAATTTAAGCGTACCCCCCAACCCCCAACCCCAAACTTAAAAGTATAAAGTGACTGTTTGCGTAATTTCAATGCAACTATGGCAATGTCCAATTTACAACGGTACACTTAAAAGCTTTGACTGATCAAGTATGAATTAGATATCCATGTTTTTGTTTATCTAAACAGTTTATTTTCATTTGTGGTTTCTCTGCAAAAGTGACTGGAGCTTTCCTTGTTTATTAGAAACAATGCAGAAAAATTCACAAAAAAAACACTTTTCGAGTCAGAAAAATGGCGTTATCTTCCACATTATTGATCAGATTAAGGTTTCAAAGGTACCATTGTAAATCGGACATTGCTATCTTCGCATGGAACCTTTAAGTAGTGAAAATTTTGTTCAAAGGCCGAAGCATAACCGCTATCCAACTTTAATGTTTCACCCCCAGTTTAAAAATAATTAGGTATGAACCACTGGAAGATAAGTATTTTTTATCCAACATGAAATCAGAACTTTGTATTGAGAATCTCGGGATAAAGCATTGATCTCCATTTTTTGCAGATCTTAAGATTTATTTAATTCCTCTTCGAAATCCCATGGTTGCCAAACCTTGTAGAGATAATTTTAATTGAGTGATCTATCATTTATCCTCAAATCTAAAAATGCCCACATTTGATATCAAGATCAAGCGTTAATGATTACTATACACTAAACAAAAATTCCGACATATGATAAATTTTTTATATTAGCTGATTTTAAACTGTACCTCTTCCACAGATCCCTTATTGTGCTAAGTAAGACAATGCTGCCAATACTAGATATGATTACAGTGTACATTATGTCAACCCAGTCAAAGCTCACTGATTTATCTCTAGTAAAACAGTTGGAATCTCTAAAGGTTGAATATGCTTCAAAGAGAGCTGATACTGAGCCCAACATGTCACTGGAGTTAAAAACAAATATTAGTATTATATTTAACTTGACTTTTAAACATAAAAATTAAAGATTGTTATTCTGTTATTGCTATTTTTTGTGGTTTAATGTATCAAGTTGATCTAACTTTTAAAGGGTTAGCTGTACAACTAATGAGTAAAAGACGTTAGCAATGAGCAATCAATAAAATGTTATTTCCTTATATTGAAAATCTTGACTAATTAGAAAGATTTCAACTGAATGGGAACACACGGAAATTTCATCCATTTAAGAGTATGGATATCAGGATTTCTGGTAATTAAAGTTTCATCTATAATAAATAATAAAAAAATAAAAATATTTAGTTTTCCTAAGAACAGTATCAGTATGATTAGTCAGATCTCTGGCAACACAAGCGTCTGGTATACACACTCCCCACTTTATACCACCAAAACTCTATAATGGAAAAATTATTATAGTATTGAAAAAATTGTAACCAGTTAAAGGTACGCTAATTAAAAAATTTCCCTAATTGGGCTATTCTTTAAATATTTTGTAAATTTACTTTACTTCGCTTCCATTTATCAACAAGATGGTGTAGGGGGGTTTTTGCAGTTTTATTTTTGTATTACACACCTGTTGGATAACACCAGTCACACTCCCTACAACATCATTCTCTTTTTCATTGCTATTATTTCCCCCAGCTGCTGCTGATCGAAAACTGAAATTATTCGGCTGTAATTTTTACATTTACAAAAAAAATTGAGTTTTTGCCACAAATTCAAATTTTCTAATCCTGTGATGTTTCAAATTTTGAATTTTTTATCAAACATAATTTTAAATCTAAAAAAATCAAAGATCTACAACAGTAGGATGCAAAGATATAGGAATTTTTATACCTTATATCTAATAATTACTAATTATTACCCGATGCTTCCTTCACAGTATTTTCCCATTAACCCATCTTCATTAACCTGGATAGAGATAATATTGTACTCAATAATAATTTTACAAAAAAAAATGTTTCATTAACCTGGATAAAGACAATATAGTATTTAATAATAATTTTACAAAAAATACTGTCAACACAATTAAGAAGATTTTCGATTTCAATTTTGGTTTCTAACAAAGTTTCAAATAGCATTGATACAAATAACAATGGAAACAAAACTTCTCTTTTCTTTGTTTTCTTGAAAAATTGTAGTTTGAAAATAACAGATATTTCGACTTCATTGTATTGATATGAACGCCGACCACTGTACAAGAAGCATCAAAAGATTAATTTTTTTTAATCAGCTAAAACACTGGTTTAGATAAAACAAATTAATTGCACAATTTATTTATAAAAATCTAATCAATAAATGATTTTTATATTATTATTATTTTAAATTATTAGTATACAATGAAACATAGACAAGTTGTGATTTGGGGAGAGAAGAGGATTAAGGTTTTTGTGTAATACAATTCTCTTGGCTGTAATGATAGAAGCGCAACTTGTGTTTTTA